GTTGCTCTGCTGCTCTGCAGACTCCTTCTAGTTCTTCAGAGCTTAAATCAGCCTTTTCCATCAGTTTCTTCCCCAGGTTTGTCTCTCTGATTCTCATTCCACTCAGGGCATGATTAGTGACTTCACAGACCTTCTGAAAGTGCTTAAGTTTACTTATAATGGAGACAACCCTATTGTTTTTCATTTTGATGATATCTTCTAGGAGCTTTATTCTTCCTAATATAAGAATTTATGGTGAGAATTTAGCCTAGAAATAAGAGCTTAGCCCAGTCCTATAACAATCATGTGCCTGTCAGCTATTAAACAGACACAGTGTCCCATAACAAGCAATGTTAAAAACACTCATCCGTTGTTACAAAATGAAAAACAGGAGCTTATGGCTCTTTCTTGGAAAATGGTATGATTTGTAAGATTTCCTACCTCAAAAAAAGCACAAAAAACACTGTGCCAGAATGACATTGCCTTAAATAAACTAATTGTAGTTTACTAATTGTAATATATTGTGGGCCACAAGAGTGGTTCTTAGCTGAGATCAACTCATGCAAGTAAACAAACACCAAGTCCACATCTGATTACAGGAGATATATGGGAGGTATGAACAGGACTGGCCAGATGCTAGACCATATGATAAGCACCGAGGATCATGGCAACATATAAAACTGGGCATTTATATGGTACAGCTGGCTATGCATAATCTTCTCCTAATTTATAAGGCTGAAGCATCTGGTCCATTGCTCTTGCTCTATAAGCCTTTCCGGAGCCCTGTTGTGGAATTTCTGGTGGTTGGATACTGCGCTTCTGGATGTCAGTGGAATGGGAAGTTAAAGCCATTTACAATGGGAGAGAAGCTCTTACTTCATCTGACAGATAAGATAATGTTCACCCATGGTCATGAAAGAAAGAATGGTAGGCCCTTGTGAGATAGGCTCCACTTCATACAGAAATCAGTAACTGCAAACTCTAAAACACATAATATCTATTTCTCATCAGCAGGACCCTCAGCCATGACACAAGGACTTGGCCAGATGAAGCCACTGCAACAGTCTGTACCCATGACTGCAGACATCCCCTGGTGACACCGCAGGCAAGGGCTTACAGAGTAGGTTGCACAAGTCTTGCTTTTGTTACACTGCTTGGTGTTCCCCACCCTATGCTGTAGCCCTGGAAGGCAGCATTTATTTGTCTCTTTCCTGAAACAGAAGCTGGCATTTGGCGTGTTGTTAGAAAATGCTCTGTAAGTGACTAAACTAAAAGAGGGAAGTTTTTAGCTGGCCCTTCCAAACTTAAGGTCAGAAGGAGTCAAGCTGACCATGGAAAGGCATCCTGCACTGAGTGATGTGCGTGTGCTCTATCCACCGTGGAGCCATGGGCCACCCCAGGCAGCTTTGGAAATGTGGACCCACAACAGATGGTCTTTTTGTGTCCACAAGGAGGAAGGGCAAGGAGAGCCAGAGCTCACTTTTCCAGGTATTTCCAAACTTCAAGAAAGCCCCAGCTGTAGTTTAGAGCCTGGGAGAGCTCTTCGTCTGCTTCCTGCTCATGGAGACATAAACAGCAATACAATATACAGGCCAAGACACCAACAAAGTTGTTTTTATAAACATTGCATTACCAATGCTGTCTAGAAGCTTTGGGTGCAGATCACCCAACTGGTATATGCTACAGCAAAGTGACTCCCACTGCAGGAGCTCCATCCTGTGAGCCCGATGGAGCATATCTTGGGATCATGCCACTACTGCTGATTGCAGAGAAAAAAATATAGCACTGATCATTTTGCCAAACCCTTCCCCAGTAAAATTACATGTCAGAGCCCAGCTGAAAGGAAATTTTCATTTCAAATGGAAAGAGAAAATGGGCTTTTGCAGAACATCATGGGGTTGGCAGTAATAAATCCTGGTATGGTCAGAGTGGAAGTGGGTCGTTCCTGAAACTCTTGCACTGCTTTCTGTCAGCTTGCAACGCTGCTGAGGAAGTGAAATCTGGTTAGCAAACACAACAGTGCAAGACTTCTTCAGACCTTTTATTGTTTTTCCCATAAGTGCTGCACATTTTGTATAATTTCATCAAATTGAAAAACTTTCAGGTTTCCAATGTGTCCGCGGATCCATAGCATGGCAGCTTCTGTAATCCTAACCAGGTCTGAATGCTACAGACACCCCTATGGTTCTGCTGCTTCTTATTTTTTTAACGTCTCCTTTGAGATTTGAGACTCCTAAATACTTTCATCCTCTGGATCTGACATAGGTACAGTATCCAGCATTGCTGGAGTCTATTCCTTGACTAGGGTGAGTAGATGTTATCTTAATAAAGCTTTTTCTTTGTGTAACAACAGCAACTTGAGTTTCCCTAAGGAAAGAAGTGGATTTGAGAAACTACTTGAATTACTACAGATATGGGTTTCAGGCTGTGATAACCCATGAGTGGGTGAAGTCACCACTGCTGAAATGTAAGACAGGTTATTTCTTAATAGTTTGAATGCTTTTATTGTGGTTCTGGCCAGTGCAAGAGGGCCGGCAGGGGAATGGTGGAGTTGAGACTTATCATGGTGCTAGGTACTATACAGAGGTTTAAGAAGTCTCATTTCCCAAAGAAACTTAACTAAATTAAGAAACTGTGTGATATGGCTAGGGTAAAACAACTGAAAGAAATGGGAGAGGAGCAAAAGCGAAGCGTGGTGAAGGAAACCAGTTTTTATAGACGAGATATGTGGATGCAGCTAGATGTCTGCAAATCTAGTCATTCAAATATATCATGTGTTAGAATCAGATAGTGGAAATATTTATTAAGTAATGTTTTTTTTCCTTTTTGTGAAGGTAAGAGTGGTGAGCATTCACTTACTGAAACCCAACCTCCTCCCAAACGCCTGCTGCCAGGTCCTGGTGCAGCTCTCAGCAGTGCTGCCCCCAGGTGAAGTGTTAGTAACAGACCATGAAAAATGCTTTGGATGTGGCTTCAGTGAAGTCAAGGTCTGTCACTTGAACTGAACCGATCCACTTATTACCCACTTATTCACTTATGTGAATTAAGGAAAAACTGGATAGTGATTATGAAGCAGGGAGCTCCATTTTTCCCAGGGTTTCTTTGCCCTCTTGTGTCTGGCCCACTCTTATCTCCTCTCATTTAATTTGCAATATCAGAATGCAGTTAAGTATTAAGTTTCTTATTAATCACAGACCTTGCAGATGTGGGAAAACAACTAGGTGGCCTAGTGGATATCTACCCAGACCTTGCTGAAGAAATCTTTTCACTTACGAGATGACTTGTAGGAGTAAAATAATTGGAAATCACAGGTGACAGTCAGCATCCATTCATCATTTACTGTGAAATGGTTGAAACAAGAGGGTTTTTTGCATTTAACTGTGTGTCATTGACTGAGTGACCATCTTTCCTGTTTCAGTTTAAATGAGCTCCTGCCTACTCACATACTGGTTTCACTATCAGAAATGTTATGTTGAGGGGACTATGAAGACATTGTGAGTGTATGCTCCTGGACTATATGGCTCTTACTTTAAAGAAAGGATGCTTTTTTTCATCTTCTGTTGCAGCCTTTGTTGTAGAAGAAATAAAGTACCTGAAACTTCTGTTTTATAAATCATATTTTAATTTCAAGGCTTAAAATAGAAAACCTCTAGAAACAACTTAAAAGATATTTTCACAAGTGCTTTTTGCTTTCTTGTTTTATTACAGTACATGACTATTTCCTTTCTAAATGCAAATATGTACCATTTTAAATTGTAATACAGGGCATACAAAGTATCCTTGGCCTTTGTGTAGCATAAAATGCTTATGATGAAACAAATCACTGAATGCAGCAAAGGTTAATCTAAAAAATATCCAAGTACATATTCCAGACATAGACTGCAGATGTTGATTTACAGCTTGATCTATGATGGAAGGCATCTTCTGCTGTTATGACTGTAACTGGGAAGAGAAAGAGAATTGCCGCTTGAGTACGCATTTAAGTTGGATGGTATTCAATTTAACTGAAAATGCAACACATGCCATTTGCCTGCATCCCTGCTGTACCTCTGCAGGTTCTTCAGCAATCCAGCTCTAACCTGAGCTTCCAGCCTTTTACAGTACTGGGAAAGCAAGCAGAAATGTAGGAAAATCACCTAGAAAACAGCTCCTCCTTTAGCCTAAACCCACAGACCAAGCCTCAAGAGAGACCAATGTTATGCATCATATTATGAAGTAGAAGGAAGAAAATCTTTTATAGTTAGGGTACCAAGCTGAGAACAGAAGCACGGGTTCAGACTAGAAAGGACCCAAATCTGAGCTTGCTGAGGCCAACGATGCTGAAGTCAACTTTGGGTTAGGTCTTTATACACTCTGTGCCTTGGCACCTGCAAGGCAGGATTATAGTAAATCTCTCTGCTGGGTATATGTTATGTGAAGTCAGTACAGTGGTTGAGGTAAGTTTGTTGTTAACAAACAGATTTTTCAGACTAACTGAGCTAACTTTTGCATTTTGTCTCATGGAAACTCATGAAATTTGATAACTTATTTCTTTTAAAACGCATTACACCTAAAGAATGGCCCTGAAGAAAGGACAGGCTCATTTGAATTAAATACACCGGATAAATCGCTGAACAGAATTGCAGACCCTGCAGCAAAATTGCATGTTGATAAAGTTGAAGGTCACTCATTTTCCTAGTGGTTGTTACTTGACAACAATAAAAACTGATAAAAGCAATACTCTGTATAACTCTTTAAAGGGAAGAGGGACGTGTTTCTGAGGGTTGTGCCAGCATGCAAATAATTCTCCACACCATTCCTCTGATCTCCTTGGCTGTATCATTCCTACCTGGTATGAAACTAGCCAAGATGATGCAAGAACTCTGGCTAATGCTGTCACATGGAATGGCAGTTTTTATGCCACACTCTTTTTTCTCCTTTGGGAGAGTATCTGCCTTTGGTGAGGGAATGGCTCTCGACTGCCAGCATAATCTCCAGTTTCAGCTGGTGCCTTACCTGTGGCAGAGGTGCCAGCCCTGTCACTACAGCATGGTGCACTGCCTGCTGCTGTAGGCACTACTGCGGTCCAGTGTTGGCACGTACATTTTAGCCACGATGCAGTAGCTGACTCCAGGCCTCAAGTCTTCTATTTTAATAACCTTGTCTTTTCCTTCGTACACCAGAAATCTGTGTTGCTTCAGAGTGGAGTAAAAAAACAGCCAGTCAAGCACATTGCCCTAGCAGGTGTGTCTGTGACTAAAGTTTGATAAGGCCAGAGGATGCAGAGCAGCAAGTGGACTTGCATGAAGTCAACAACATCAATAATTCATTTATGGTTTTTAAAGGAAATTCCCCCTATAATTCCCCTCCTGTCCCAGTTGTTTGGTTTTTTGGGGTTTTGTTCGTTTGGGCTTTTTGTTTGTTTTTGTGTTGTTGGGGTTTTGGTTTGTTTTATTTTTAATCTAGGCCTTAGAGTATGAAATATCAGGTTGATGGGAAAGAATAATGGGAAGAATTGCAACTCAATTCAATCAAATTAAATTGCTAAAAAATAAGCCTACTTTGTTTTCAAATACTTACCTGGCCATTGATGCCCTCACAATCCCAGGAGACTATTTCAACTGTAAAACAAGAATGGTGTGCCCATACTTTCCTGGCTTGTCAGTAGTAAAGGGTTTCTACTTGAATATGCACTTACCTCATCTACCAAGTTGTTAATTAAGAAGACTTGATATAGCAGATCATAATAATTTGTCATTGGTATCTTGCTGCCTCTCTTCCTTTTGTAAGGAGAATGTGGAGCCTGGAGCTTTACTATTATGGATTTGTTGCCATGAACCACAGTTACCATTGGAGGTCCTATCATAGCTAGAGAAAAACACCAAAGCTATGAACACAATTATAGTTTATTAATAATGCTTCACAGACCACAATTTGAATTCATTCAATGATTAATTGTTCTTGTTAACAACAATATGTTATGCTGCATTTACTGTTAAAGTGCCACTTTATAATTTCTTGCTTCGTGGTGCTTATTGCTTTGGATATTTTGTGTTTGTAAATCTATTTTTGGGCCAAACATTTGAAATCTCTCAGAGCTGTGTGTTGCTGACTGCAGGCTGGTCAAGCAAAATGCTTTGGTTGGATTCTTTGTCCTGACTTTTTTCATATTTATCTGTATGTCTGGACAGCATAAACTAGCTCTTTAAACCATTTCAGTTATTCCAAGGATGCAGCTTCAAGTATTGCTTTCAAATTTGTTTGCAATCTGCTTGGTTGAACACAGCTAAGGTGCTTAACCTTAGCTAGTGACCACGCACCTGTCTCCAGTCCTTAAGGGATGAAAAGGGGAA